AAATCAGCTTCCACAGTTGCTAAAGCAATTAAAAAAAAAATACGAAAATCCTAATAATCCTCTTTCTTGGTCTGAAACTTTAGAGTAGATAAGGAAACGGAGTATATGGGGGAGTGCAGAGATATGTTACTCCGACACGGCGTAAAGATTTCGTATGCTAAAAGCAAACGGGGCGTCGCTATCGCCGAGCATGATCATCAAGAGTATGAAAACCAAGCTTTTAGACGACAGTTTACCATTATCTGAAAGATGCCGTTCTTGGTTTGAAGAGCTTGATATGGATGATGATATTTATAATAATTCTGTTACCAGACAAATAGGCATGACGCCTAACAAGGCGGTTAAAAAGGCATTAAACGGAGAAAAAAATATTTGCTAAACCCTCCGTAAAACACAGACGACCCGTGGGATATAATGAGTCCCGTTTACCGACCCATACAGATTGTTCGTCATCTTTTGGAAGTAGGAGAGTTAGAAGGTAATGTTTTGGAAAAAAATAATCAACCGATTCTCTATAAGCTTTTCAATGGTCCAGAACGTCTTTTTGTTTCCGAAGAACTTCAAATTGTTCCCAAAGACACTGAATTGCCACCAAAGTATATATTGAATGCGAAAATTTCCAAACTTCAACACAAACCCTCAGCTAAGCGCCATATATAACGCTAAACGTTTGTTTTGCCACCTCTCTCCTCCACTTGATATAAAATTTGCTCAAATGCGTCATTTAAATAATTATCTATTTTCTGATCGATTGTATACTATGACTTGCTTATTTCGTAACCAATCGATTTTCGAACTCTTTTGTGCCGTACGGCTAGGAGTGGAGGCGTCCTCATTCTGCAAGTCTTTATTTCCAGGTTTGTCACCCATAATGAATTTGGTAAGTGAAGATAATGCAAACTTAAATTGTCTATCGAATTCTTTTTCTAGCAACTCTCGGAAAGCTTTTCTTTGGCTTTCTAGCATCTTTCTTACATCACTGCCATTATCTAGATGATATCTAGGGATGTCTGCATTGTATACTACTATAGCTCGTCTTTTAAGTGCAGGACCTAGATCTTGCTCGCGAAATGCTAAATTTCTTCATGATCTCCTGTGATATTATTCAGGCGCTGAAATTGAATAAATTTTCTGGATTAATTAAGTTGCACAAATTTTTTGCACTTCTGTAATGTTGGCAGAGTTTTTGAGGAGTTGCCAATAATTTGCCGCAAAATTTGCAGGTAGTGTTTTTCTTATCTTTTCTAGCCATGGATGGTATGTCGCGTTTGGTTTTTATATATGCGTAAACAATTTTTCAATTTAAAAATATTGTCCACTATATAAAATGTTAGCGAAATATACATGCTATTATCTTCATAATTCCGGGAAAATCTGCGGTAGAGCCTGCTGTCGGCATCACTATAAGTGTAAAAAAACCGTTCCTTGTTCTGATTGTGGCAAACCCGCTGGGTCTACTTGTGGACGATGTGACCTGCATAAACGAGAATTTTACATAATTCGGTATGTTAAAAAATTGCGCGAAAAGGCTGGTTTATAATAAGGTTAGGCTTGTTCATATCTAAGCTTATTTTTACGCCGTACGGCAAGGACAGCGGTTAGACTTATTTTGCGTAAGATGTTTTGAGATGGTTTAAGCTAACTTTATGCCGCCGTATGGCATCAAAATGACACCGTAAATGGAATATATCGTTAACTTTATCGTTAATTGGAAATTATTGTCTAAGTTAGAAGTTAGGCATATTTCCTGTATTTGGAGCGTTTTAAGCTCATTTATACTCTGTTCAGATAATGCAACTGCAAATATGTCATCAATTTTATTATTATTTAAGAGTTAACGCCTAAATCGCAAAAGATTAGAGGTTAGAATTTATTAGAAAATTGAGGAATTAAGCTCTGAATCTTAAAATTTTGTCCCAAAAACCCCCGAATGACATTGTGTAAAAAGGATTACCAACTTTCCTGCTGACACTGTGGATGATTACCAAAAACAAATTATTTCTTTACTTTGAATCCTGAACATGTAATTACATTTTCTGCCACTTATCAATTAAAAATGATAGTTCAGTCAAAGAGCAAACTAAGCAAGCTATGGAAAAAGTTAAAATGACCAAAATCAAGGCTTAGTATTAGATAAAAAAGTATGGGAATTGTCAAGGATTTACTGAAGCAGGAAGCATTAAGTATTATGCCAAAGAATTAGGCAGAGTGAACCATAGTTTTGCTAACCAAGGAACTAAATCTACTCCTCCTTCTTCCAGGAAGAAGGCTTCTGAAGAATGAATAATCCTTCTGCTTGAGCAACTGGATTTGCTCTTCTCCTTCTCCTAAGTAGTCTTGGTTGAGCTGTCTGGAAAAGAAAACTGTTGGCTCAATGATAAAACTCCCCTGCTGAACTAGCTAGAAGAAGAGGAAAAGGATAATTAATAATGATTTGATTGTTTATTCTGCCAGGTTTCTTTTCTTTCTTGGTTCATCATAAGTTAATGTTTATTCATTATAACTTTTTGTTCTTGTTGGTAAAATTTCATAAGTAATTTTCTCTTGATTATGATATAGTAATAGTAATAGATATGCTTGGAGAGTTTGGACATTAGTATTATTAATTTTAAAAACATATGGAGCAATTTTTTCTCGTTTTTTTTTTTTTTAGAATGCTTCTAATGGTGCTGTAATTCTTGGGTTCCATGGTAAATTATCTTTATATTAATATTTTTATATATAGAGGTAATTCTATATTAATCTTGTTATGGTTTATATTCATCACATTCTGGTATGATAAAGTAAAAATTAAAATTAACAGTCTATAAGTGTAAATGAACACAATTATTACTTTTCAAAATGTCATCAGTCACACTGGTCATTTTTACAGCCACATCACAATCAGCCTCTCATTTCACATAGTCAAATGTTCACTTTGTCTGGTTTTGTTGCAGCATGCCCCATATTAATATTGAGTTTGATTTCTCTCGTCATATTGGCTGAAGCAATATTTCCATTATAGTAATAGTGCGATTAATTCTGTTATGGACGATTCAGAAAAAGGTCCATTATAGCTAATAACGCGATTTACCATAAGAATCACCCATTATTATTTATATTATATCAAGTAATGTTTAATATTAGAAAAGAGAGTTCTAAGAAAATTTCTCTTACCATTATAACGTAGTCCTATTATAACGAGCTTAGCGTTAGACTGCATGCACATTCTGCTTATAGTCACTGTCACACTGTCTGTGAGACAGATTTCATAGCAGTTATAGTAAAATTCACCCCTTTAGCAAAAAAAAATCAATGCTTTATGCAACCTGATAGTAATAGGATAAACGTGATAACATGTGCAATTACTCATTGTCAACTGATATAATAGAAGTAAATGTATTGCACGTTATTTTAAAGAAAAAAAAATAATAAAATAAAAATATCGAAGAAACCAGTAGCAACTGAAGAGAATCTGACTGAGGTTGATATAGTAAGGATGATGCTATGGTAGAATCTGAAACTGTACTCTCAGATACCGATTATTATGAAGGAAATAAAGCTGTAGCAAAACCGATGTCTAATATAGAAGCGCTGACTCACCTGAAGAGCCTATTTTGTTCCAAGAGCAATCTCCCGACAAAGTATTTACTACAGATGAGCTGAACGTTCTGCGTCGCAAGATATCTACTTTTGAATGTTTGATGGATAAAGCAAAAAGCAATTATCGCTAGATTGTTATTTGGAGAAATAATCATTGTATACGTGAATAATCATCTATATATATATATAATTTAAAAGCTGCAAGGTGGGCGGACATTGCATATTCGTGTTACAAAATTATCCAATAGATGACCATCACATGTTCATCATTTCTTTGTTTACAACCG